CTGCTGAATACCCTTCCTTCCAAAATGTGTAATGGATAGTGGGTATGTTGCTTTCCCGTGCATTAATTGTCACAGCACTCAGTGCACTGAAAGCTCTGACAGCCCCCTTTTACATTCTAAGTGACATCTGCATTGAACAGAACAGAAATAAAGATTAAGGGAAACACCTGATGTGATAACACTCAGCTTTACTTCCCAATGTAATATTGAAAAGGTACAGGTCTGCCTTCTTGTATTCCAAGTAAGAACTAACGTCAAAACCTCAGAGGGTCATTACCAGCTGTAAGACAAGAAATAAAAGGGCCACAGCTTCTGAAGGCTTGTTCACTATAAAGCCTTGCTAGCTTTCTAACTAACTACTCAGTATCTATTTACTAACCAGAGGTGAGAGCTGCCAGCCGGAGATTTAGGAGAACCAGACTTGTGACCAGGAGAACCAGCATAATGGTATAGTATCTCTCACAAAATGTTACCTCATACTTTTAAAAATATCTGTGGCCAAGTCTCCATATTGGCAACTAGTTTGACCTAGCTGGCACAAACAGCAGACGCAGTAATAAACCTGAATGATAACACTTCCAACTGTAGGTGGGCAATCACAAAGCTGAAGTCTGCTTTGTATAAAAAAATAAAAACCTTGTGCACAGAACATTAGATGTCCAGGAGTTCTTCCTAGTTCAACCTTCCTCCTGATGTGCTAGTTCTGTACCCATAATAAAGTTTTCCATGGGGAAGCATTCATCTATATAATCCTCCACCTTCAGTCTGGAATGGTATAGTCTGGGAACCATTCTACCACCTTATCTATGGTCTCTGTTAACTAGAACTTTGATTCGCTAACCACAGATTAATTCAAACACTTTCTGCCTGTACAAGTCACTTTCAACAATTTAACTACCTTTTTAAAACTCACAGTGACACAGCCAGAAGATGGAAAGTGATACAGGTCTGCAGTGCTGGAAAAGTGAGACACAAGTGCTTTGCAAAGTTCCTTAGACACCATTGTGATTCAACAGTGCATTTGCATTCTCAGTTTAATGGTGCAACAATTCATCTTAGTTCAAAAGTGCAGGGTGGTTTAAACTGCTCTGAACTTATGGAAGGGGCGAGAAGTCACATTTGTAAACAGATCAATGTGTGATCAATAGACATTAGTCTGTGGTTTTCTGAATACCTCCCTACATGCATTTTCAAAACCTGAAAGGAGAAATGCAAAAGAAATGCCCCTAGAGTTCACAATTATTTATCTATAGATAATTTTTGATGGATCCACATGAAATATCTTACATTTGTGTCAGGATTCAGTTCCAAAAAGCAAATGCAAATAGCCAGTTCTAGGATGTGGTCACACGTGCCAGATGAAATGGGGGGGGGGAGCGAGGCTATTTCCTCTGGAGGAATTTGACCTGAAGTTGCGAGATCACACCTTCCTTTGAAGCTGCGGGTCAGTGTGTTATCAGATGCAACTGCGGGTGAGTCATGGGGTTTTTTGGTGTCATTTGTTTCCCATGCGCTTAAATGAGGAATTGATGAACCGCACCTCCGCACTGAGGGCCACCTATGGAGTTTGTGATTATGCACATACTGAAAGGGGGGGGGGACAATGGCATGGAGTCAGGATGGCCTGATCAGACCATCCTGATGGCATGAGAGCGTGCTGGAGCAATCAGACGGGAAAGTCTGTCTGTGGCCCGTCACAACCCGTTTACTACTGGACTTCCCCCGGTGTCTTTTAACTCCACTTCTGCAGCAGAGCAGAACAGGTTGCCGAAAGCTGCAGGAGGCTTCCCAAATGTTGTTGTCTGATCACTCCCTTTAAATCTGCCCAGCATTCACGCCTATGTCGGGTCTAATTGTGCATGTGATCGCAGCCCTAGTACAGTAAGTATACTCAAAGAACAGAATCCCAACTATCAGGAGGAAAACTGCTATGGGTAGAGTGTGACTTTTACTTTGGCTACATAACTTCTGGAGAAGGGCCCAGTCTATGCATGTAGCAGAATAAGGTGACCTAATGATGATGGCAATAAACGAACTGCGCTACGGCTGGACTATGTGATATATATTTTTTTTTAAAAAAAATTCTATAGAAACCAAATTCCATGATGATGATAAAAACTAGCACATCAGGAAAAGTGTGGTACCTCAGCCTGCTTCTTGCTACATTAGTTTTCTTCTTGAAGAGAATTTACTATTTCTATTTATTTATTTTACAAAATTTATATCCTGCCTTTCTGCCCTCACAAGGGCCACCAAAATGATTATGCAAGGGAACATCACCCCTGCACTTACTGTCTAAAGTAATATGATCAATTCAACCACTCTGCAGTTTGATTACCTTGTTCCCACCTGCCATGTTCAGACCGGGCTTACTTCACTCTGGTGTAACTGTACTTATTAATTTAAGAAATAGCATAGATAATTTTGTGCAAGACAACAAACTTTGAACCAGGCTCTTTTAGTGAACCAGTGAAAAGATCAAGGAAAGAACTGAACTCTTGAGGGCCATTCCTCGCAATACGATTTCCAAAAGTAGCTCCTGTATTATCATTTATATCTACATAAAGAACAAACATTTTATGTGAACAGGAACATAAACAATAAAGCTATGGGACAAAGATGTGTTTAACTGTGGAACATCTTTACATTTCTTGTTGAAGAGACTGCTATGTATATGATCCACAGTTGCAGGGGAAAGAACAATGCCGGAAGAAGCCTACCTGCCTATAAATTTCTCCATAAATCAGGTAGTTATCAGCAAGGTGTAGGATGGGCTATTCTAGGACATAACACGAGCCACTGTTGCCCAAGGTCCTTGTCATTATCCTGTATCCTCAGTAGTAGGTTGTGGCTGAATATCTAAACCAGAAGACTAGCTTTCTAGAGAGGGGGTGGGTAGAAATGTAAGAAATGTGAACACAGCCTGCATATTTTCCCTTTCTTCTATAAAGAGACAGACGAGGATTTTTTTTTAGCCACTAAATAGACACAGGCATATGATGAGGCAATTGGCAGTCTTCCACGAATGTCAACGGACAGGTGAATACCTACTTCTAATTGATATATATAGTAGGAGACGCTGTGTAAAAGAAAGGAAGGCCTTGTACATTTCAGAGACAAATAGACTGCTCATTCCTAACTGGCAAAGCCACATGATTTTGAATTCATCAGCATCTATAAACCACGGCAATAACACTCTGAGACATCATTAGGACTTAGAGAATAGACTGGACCATGTTGAAATGCACAAATGACTCCAAGCATACTTCAGGCTGAAACCTTTCACTGCTGAAATGAAGACCTCAAAGGCAATAACGACGACATCACAATATACATAAATCAAGAACTGCATGTGGGTTTATTTTACACTTGAGAAAACAGTGGATTTAATTGTGTAAACCAAAAAAAATGTACTGTACAATATTAATGATAAAACATCAAAATGTATAATTCATAGTGCATTGCTTGCTTTATTTTTATTTATTTATTTTGTCAAATAGTTCCTTTGAGTACATGCATCTGGGAAGATGCAGGTGCCAGTAAAATTTCTCTATTTAACTCAAGCTGCAAGGAACTAAATTTTATTCAAAAAAGTGTGGTTTTACATTATATACACAGAAATCGAATATAAAATGACAATATAAAAAGTTAAAAGAGAAAGCATACAGCCAGAAGGTACAAAGGAAGTGAACAGTTTAAAATGGTACGGTATGTAACATATACTTCCCCCCCCCCTAAGCTGATGCTGGCAATTTACAAGGAACTGAATCCAACACTTGCCCCATTTGTTGTTTTGTTTTCATGTACCAGTGCAGCACACCATAGAAAGTTCAGCTTGTACCAAAGCTTACATTTGTAAATAACTATAAACTGCAGTATTTTACAGGGGGGAAAAGAAAAGAAAGAGCATTTTTACATTTTTTAAAATAGCCTGCATACTTTTTCCTCTCTTTTTTGGCCAACCAAATGACAATATTCAGCATCCAGAGGGTTTGGGCATAGTGGCAACTGGGTTTGTTATTTTTAATTTTCTTAAACATGGTTGTGGTTTTGTAACCCCTTGAGCACTAGATAGCTTTTCACCATCTTCAAAGAACTGCATGCATCTTTTCTTCACAAATTGGATCTGCAGCTTTGTTTTCTAAAAGCGCTTTTTTTTTGACACATAAAATGAAATTTGTTTTGTGACATAGTTTTATTAGGATGAGACAACTTTTAAAAACAAACCAAAAAAAAGATATTTTGGGGAAAGGCACAGAAATGCTATTACAGTCCTCAGAGGGTTAAAAAATTGACACTACAGGGTTATGTGACCTTTATCGTCATGGCAACTTTGTAATTTTAGGATGTCTTTTTATTATTGTTCTTTGTGTCTTTCTTTACTGTTAAATTAACGTCTCTCAATAGTGTCTCCCGCTATATTCTACAAAAGATAGCTTAACATCAAGGACAGATGTTGAAAATAAAGGTCAGACTTTGACTCACAGAAAAAAAAGAGAGATTTAAAAAAACATGCACAGATCAGACAAAGAGCTTATAAATATAACTACAAAATGTATGTAAGAAAAACCAAGGTCCAGATAGGCAGTTCAGCAACAAAAGTAAGACTGATTTCAGAGGCTCAGGTCAGGCCTAGTGCAGTACTATGAAGAAGTTTAGTGCAATGTTCCTGTGGTCACTTGCATACCTGGCTGCTTACCTGGACGCTAATGTTTTTCTAACTCAGTCACATAGATCAGATGGTCCTCAGGGGACTTTCCATGTGTTTTACTAAGGTGCAGTTTTACTGCATGCTTGCTTGCAAAAGTTCGGTTACAGAGCTTACACTGGAATGTGGAGCCTGAGTCCTCCTCAGCAATTCCAAGTGAGCCTAGAGTTTTATTCGCAAGGACTTTTGAAACATTCTGCTGTTCTTGGATCTGATTTAGTGGCAATTTGGACAGGTCCTTCAAGCTGAACCCTAAATGTGTCTCCAAGTGACTTATATATGTAGAAGCAGTCCTGAACTGTGAGGCACAATCATTGCAAAAGAAAACAGGATGCCCTGTATCCAGATTCTTTAAAAACTTAGTTCCACCTGTCCTTCTTAATTGATACTTCACATTGGCCAGCCAGTGGCTAATTGTGGTCATGGAAAGACCAGTAAACTTAGAGATATGCACCCGCTCTTGTGGGCCAAGGTCCGACATAATATATTTGCCTTCAGGAGTCTCCCTCAAGCTAGATGCAAACTGGGCTTGAAGAATGAGAAGATGCTGAGGGTTCCAGTTGGACTGCCTACCTTTCCTCTTATGTACTGGTGACAGTTCATCCAGAGCCTCTTCAAAGCTGCTTCCATCTGCATCAGATTTTTCTGACACAGAAGATGGAGTTGAAGACTTTGGAGTTAAGCGCCCTGTGAGGTTCTTTACCATGTCAGAAATATCCATTAGGGCACTTTCCCTCAGAGGAGATGAGACGGAGTCAGTCACACTGGGAACCAGAGGTTTGTTTTTGGACTTTGTTAAATCAATAGGCTGGTCACTGTTCTCATAATAGTACCGGTCAATAGCGTCAACATGCTTGGCTGGAGTTGTTGGGTAAATGGGCTTGTCCAACATACTGTTGCTAATTTTATACAACATGGCCAAAGGGTCCAAAGAAGGACTTACAGGATTAGAAACCTTGCCTAAGTGGGTATTCATGATGGATTGTAAAGCACTCAATGGGTTAATGAAAGATGGCTCAGGTGAATGGTCGGTGATGATGCCTAAGTTATTACAGCCATTTGTGACTTTTGCTTTAGGTGGCTCAGTGCCATTAAGGGTATGAGGATCTGCTGGGCTTTCCTTTTTGACCTTCTGACCTTCTTCTAGATTCTTTTTCTGCTGCTGTTGCTGCTGCTGCTGTTTGATGGTTTCCTCTGATTTTGGAAAGTCTTTGTTCTCTTTAGCAGCAGGTGACAATGGCTTAACTGGAGAAGATTTTTCTTTCTCCGCAGGTTTGTCTTCCTTTTTAATATTGATTTTTCCTGTAACCTTCTCCACTAGTTCTTCCATTGCAGAGACATTGCTTCTGTGAGGTGGAGGTGTTAAGTTACCTGGGGAATGGATCAGTGCACTGTGCTCTGAAGACAATGATTTTACGCTGCTGGCATAAGAGGGCTGCATCTGAACACTCTGCACAGCTGGCTGGATGGGTTTAACAGTTCCTGGAAGCTGGTAAGCTGCATGAATGCTGGGATAGCCTCCCCAAGAAGGAGCTCCATTCTGAGCCTTACTTATAGCTGTCGTCACAGTATTTTCCAGGGATTTTAGTATATCTATCCCACCTTTAGGACTTTCATCTAGATCCTCCTCTCTGAGGTACTGATATACAGCTGTTGGCTCAAACTTCTCTGTAGTGTCTTCATTCTCTTCTTTAATTTTTTTGTCTGTTTCATTAATGATCACCTTTTCCAAGTCCTTCTTCTCCTCAGAGCTCGTAGATCCAGCTGGAGATTCAGGCTGCTTTTTAACATTTGCAGCTGGTAATCTTGTGTGGGTGGTGGGTGGCAAAGGTATGGATTGTATCTTCTCCTCTACCACAGGATCCAACACTAGCTGTTTTCCCTTTTTGGAGGCAGAATTAGTTACTTTCAGAAAATGTCCAGTGACCATCATATGAGCAGTAAGCTGCTGCAAAGTGTCATGAGAACTGCCACATTCCATGCATTTCAATATCTGGGCTTTGCGGGCCTCAAACTGCCAAGTGTAGCTAGCACCATTTTGATATCCATAGCGGTTGTTTGGAGTCACATAAGGGTTGGCAGTTTTCTGATCCTTTGCTGCTTCACTAAGAGTAGTCTCTGAAGTGATCGCTGTTGGCTCAGGTGAACAAGGTGAAGCTAAGTCCTGAAGTGCTCGCTTTTTGGTAGAAGGCACCAGTTTGGTGATGGCTGGTACTGGTTCCTTCAGAGGCACTTTCTGGTAATGTTTTGTTTTTATCATATGGACACTCAAGTCTTGCAAAGATTCAAAAGAATGACCACAATACATGCACTTCAGCACTTTTTGGGCATCCTCTTTGCCTTCCATTTCCATAAGTGATCGCTTTCTAGGCTTTGACCACCGTTTGGTCTTTTCAGCATCTTTATCTCTGTTGTCATCCCGGTAATGTCCTGTTTCATTCATGTGCACTGTTAGCTCCACCAGCGTGTCATACGCTGCACTGCAGTCTTTGCACCGAAACTTACTGGCACCAGTGAACACAGAACCGTACAGTTTATTGTTTTGCCGGTAAAGCTGTACTGTGCTGAATAGACTGGGTTCTGGGAGAAGTCCGTATGAGGTCTGCTGCAGAGTTTTGGCCAATGCCGCTTGATGCCAGTCATAACCTGAGCCACCACTGTTACTGTTACTAGTGCTACTGGTACTGGTACTGGTACTTATACTTATACTGGTAGCAGCATTAGTACTAGTACTTGGGATGTTGATACTAGAGTTGCTATTAGTGGTGTTTTCCTTCAGGATGGTTTCACTACTCTTTGATTTTTTTAAATCCAAAGCTAAACTGGACCAGCAGGACTCTGATAGTAAATTTGCATATACAGCTTTTATTTGTGCTAAGCTGTCCTGTGGATAGGGAGCATTGTCTGAGCACTGATCTTCTCTTTCTTCTTTGGAGGAAGTGTTTTTGAAATGAGCCAGCTGGTCACTGTTTTCACTAAATGGTGAACCGTAACCTGCATCCTGATTTGTTGCCGTGCTGACTGGGGAGTTCTGGTAACTCTGAGCTTCTTTGATCTCTGTTTCTTCATTGCACATATAATCGGTTTCCTGGATGTCCAGAGGTAGCCCATCATCTTCCACACTTTCTTCATCTATTTCTGTTGCTTTCAGTTCTTCCTCAGGAACATATGCTGGAAAAGAAAAGAAAAGAAGCTATAGAACGTACACTTGTTTTTCAGCACCATCACTAGTTCAATAGCAATCTTAACTTTAAAAACACATCTCCCCATTTTAAGTTCACTATGAACACACATCCAGCTGTAGTGTTATTCATTTATCATGTTTTTAATGGATAATCTCAAACAATCATATGAGGTTTAGACATGAGTAGATTTGAAGATAGACCTCGCCAGTCCAAGTCCAGCATTCTAGCCACCACACTACTGAGAGTTAAAAGTGAAAAATGATAATATTTGGAGTAGAACAAGTGGAATTCTTATTTGCTTATTTCATACAACTATATTATTTATACAGCAGCATTATTTTATTTAATGTACTTATTTATGCCCTGCCTTTCTCTCCAGTGAAAGCCCCAAGTGGCTTATATCATTTTCCTCTCCTCCATTTTATCCTCACAACAGCTCTGTGATGTAAGCTAGACTGTAACTGGCCCAAGGTCACCCAAGAAGCTTCCATGGCAAAGTGCGGATTCAAACTGGAGTCTCCCAGATCCTAGTCTGATACTCTAACTACTATGCCATGCTGGCTGCATACAAAAATACTTTACATATTGACTTGTCTGCAAAATAACCTTGTGGGATGAGTTCCATTTCATTGTTAGGTAATTCTGGCTGGGAAATCCTAAAGTTACCCATTGTTAAGTAGGAATATGAATGCTGGTGTCACAGGTCCAAAGTCAGTGCTCCTCTAGCATTGATGACACAATTTAACAAGAAGTTAATTAAGACTTTGAAGGTAAAGTGTGAACAATGAGTCCCCAGACAGAAAGACTGAAATGGTCTCACATAAGATACAGCAACTCAGGGTTGCCAGCGTAAGCTAAAAAATTCCTGGAGATTTTGGGTTGGAGCCTGAGGAGGGCAGGACTTGGAGAGAGACCTCAGTGGGGTCTAATGCCATGGAGTCTATCCTCCAAAGCAGCCATTTTCTCCATGGAAACTTATCTCCATCATCTGAAGATTAGTTGTAATTCTGGGAAATCTCCAGCCCCCATCTGGAGTTTGGCAACATTAGCATTAACTGATGGAGAGTTCTTTTGACTTTTCCATCTGTCATCACAACATGAATTCAAGCAAAAACACCTGAATGTGTAGTCAGATACAAACAGCATTAAAAGTACCTGTGTGGATTCAATTATACCATACTGAAAGAAAAACTAGAGGTGGAGTCCTAAGACCAGATTGTAAGATGCTCAGGGTGGCAACTAAATCTAACATTGGTGTAATGCAGTGGCATAGCACCCTGCTGAAGCCAATGTGGTATAAATACATCAGCCTAAGAGCTAACAACTAGCAGGACCAGGGACATTCTGGAGACAAGATCCACGGTAGTATTCTAAGGTCCCTGATCACACATCTCACTCCCTGGTGCTGATGAAAGCACTATAAACCCCACCCAGTTCACCTGGAGAAGTTCTACAAAGTTCTGTAGTCTGTAGCAGACTGGTCAGCTTCTTAATAGAGAGGTGGAAAAAACAGAAATCGAATAAACACTGAAAAAAGTTTGCTGTTGGTGTTCTGTGGTGCGTTAATTACTTATTTCATAGCCCTTGACTTTTAATAGTTTACATTACTTTAAACCTATTTTTAAGCACAAAAGTGCACTGAAATTAAAGATCGTAAAACCAAATATTATTGGTTTCTACAGAGTTTTTCCTCAGCCTAATATCCGTCTACAGAATTTTGCTTCTTACTAAACTATGACGCAGACACCATGTAAGGATTCTGGAAGAGCAACTGGCAGCTAAAAATAAAATATAGTGAGAGATGAATATTTAAAAGTGATAGGCATAAAGCATGCGAGTACATATCCAGCTTGATTATTAGCTTACAGTAAACATCAAACTTTCCTATTGTGATGCCACCTGGTGAAACGATGTAATCTTACCAAATTACGTGTTTATCAGCATCAAACTATTTTTTTTAAAAAAACATAACAAATGTGATATTCATGAGCAGATGGCCACCATCTCAAAATACATTTATTCCAAGGGCCCAATTCACAGAAGTAGCTTACATGCACCTAACTGACAAATACACATTTTCACTGTGTAGTAAAAATCATTCTTGCACACAGTCATCAGACTTCTAAAACCTGAAAAATCTCCTTAATTCTGCTACTATGGGAAGACTGTGTATAAATCAAGGTAGAAAACAAAGCATGATGTGAGGAGTCTTCCATAAGGAAAATATTTTAAAGTTCACCAAACATTGGACAACTATTTTCAAGGAATAGTTGCACACAAAACATAATTTTCATTTGGGTGTGTTTGTCAAGGCTGACCCACCTTGGTCTGAGAGATTTGTTCCCCTGCCTGTAGCCTGAGACCCTAGAAAAAGGCTCTTCATGAGTTTACCCTGGGTTTTGCCTGGTAACTCACAGCAACACACCTTTTAACATCTTTATTGAATATAATACTACAGGTTCAGGATTTTAGTAATATTTGTAGTGAGAGTAACACATAGTATTTCAAAAGGTTAGTGCATTTCTTTAAGGCTGGGAATTTACTGGAATAGAAGAAATAGAAATATATAAAATGATTGTTTAAAAAACATTTGTTCAAAGCTATTTTACTCTGCAATTGCTTCAATGTGCAACAATACTCTCTATCAATAAAAGGAAGGTTTGAATTAATTACTACTTTATAACCCTGCTAAAGAGGCCAACTGATTATTTAATTTTGTAATAAAACATGTCTGCCTATGCTTTCTGTATTGTTGTAGCTCTTTTTTAAAAAAAAGATGCAAGATTAAATGTGCATCTTGTAATCAGAGAAATATTTAGACCAAGCCCTGACTTAAAGAAGGCTAAAAATATGCTTGCAACAACCTATACTATAGTGTATAATACAAACAAGCTCTTCTCTCTTACTCTCTGTAATTTTGCAGGAAGGAAATCCAACAAATTCTAGTTATAGAAAAAGAAGTAACTAGAGACTGATGGAGAATTATTTTTCTTTTTTTCTATTATCTTGTTAAAATTTGTGCCCATATGATATGCCTTCTGGATCTCAGTGTTTCCCCATACATGTGCTGTCATCTTTGAACAGCATTAAAATCCGTGCATTCTAATATAAGTGGACATGAGGCACAATATATTGTATGTATTAGTAGTATAGCACACTGTGTCTGCTTCAGTGAGAAGGTGTACTCTGTAAATAATAGCCCATTGTCTGAAAAGTCATAAGCCAGTAGGATAATGATAACATGTTGTGTATAGGGGGATATTTGATCTTGTATACCAAACATACCAACATTGTTTCTTTGTCTATTTCATGAAAAAATATTTATATTTATTTTACCCTAAATTATATTGCAGATAATTTAGATACATTTCGCAGATAAGTAGATATCTAGACATATTTTCCACAATTATTTTTTGAAGAAGAGAAAACAATGGCCACTGTATATGCGTTCAATCCATATTCACTAATATCAACAGAAAAAATTACCACCAATTTCAATCAATTCTGTCTTCTTTGTTCTTAATGACTGTTCAGTTTATTGAGATAAAATTTTATTAAACATCGATGGTGTGAGATTATTAGTTATCAAGGACAACTGTTAACGTTTTAAAATTTTCAATATTGTAAGTAAGCATGTGCACAGAAGCACATTTCTGACTGGTATCTGCGGCAGCCTACTGAACTCTAGATGGCTATTTCCATGAAGCTCAAATAACTGCAGTTTTCCAGAGAAGGGCCTGAGCCTGTTTGGCCACAGAAGCACCTGATCCCAAGTCCCATTCCTCCCAACAGGTGTTGTACAGGATATATTCTCAAACATTATGCCCCATGGTTAGGGTTGTAAAACATATTGGACTGGGTCGTGGGTACTGTTCCACCAGTGTTACAGTGCTATTGTTAGTAGAATGGCACTACTACTGGCAGAGGATTTTTGCCAGTTCTCCCTTTTCCTTGCAAAACCTGTCTTGCCTTCAGTGCTATTTGTGAGGATCACCTAACTCCCAAGGGCAGAAGTTTAGGAAGCAGCAGTGGGAGGAGAAAGGAAGGAAAGTCCCATTCTGTGAGCTTTGCTTCAGATGCGTTAATATTCAGCCCAGAATTTCATTTGGCATCTATGCCAAAAAAACAACAACAACCACTGTATGAATATTTGTTAAACACCACACAGATACATAACAACTCCCTTCACCACAATAATATCCAATACATATTACTGTTAAGCAGTCATTACTGATTCCCAAGCTGAAAGATGCTTATCCTATATATGAAAAATATTTGGCTCATAGGAAATGCCCATCTCTGCAGAGAAATAATAAATTATAGCTGTTTTTCTTTATATAAACCTGTGCATATACACAATATAGATATGCCAAAAAGTTCCTGAATTATTATTCAATTAAAATCAATATCCATAATGTCAAAGTCTCTCTCTCTCCCCCCACCCTCTGCATATACATACATGCAAACATTTTTGTAGGACAGCTAAAGCCATTCATATAAAACCTAAAATTTAATGTCCTGTGAAATACAAGTAGTTGCATTTCAGCCAATTTAACTACATTGACCTCAACGTTAATACACTGGCCTAAATCCAAGTATTCCAGGTACTTCATGAATTTTGTGGATTTAGGATATGTTTAAGCATGTGCTTTCAGAATATACATCAAGCTAGGGGGGGAAACAATAAGAAAAAGTACAAACATATAAGTAAATAAGGTGATCTCCATATTGACAATGAATGCTAAAATGAATCCATTTGTAAAGAATTGTGCGTGCGCACGGAACGTCCAACTGTCAAAGTTAATTAAAGTTTCTGCAAGAACATCAGTGGTTCTTCTGCATAATGAAGCTGAATGACAAATCCTTAAAGTAAAATAAAATACTTCTCACCTTTCCTCTTTCCC